TTGAACTGTCCCCCTCCCAACCCTCACTCAAGAAGATGGGCACAGCACATATTGTCAGTGCATTGGCTAGTCTTTCTGTTTGTATATCTCATTAAGCTCAAAGGCTTGTATGGTTGTATTCACTTGGACAGAACCATTGTATTCACTAGGACAGAACCATATGTGGGTCCACATAGTCAATCACTTTTTTTCTTTTGAACTGTCCCCCTCCCAGCCCTCACTCAAGAAGATGGGCACAGCACATATTGTCAGTGCATTGGCTAGTCTTTCTGTTTGTATATCTCATTAAGCTAAAGGCTTGTATGGTTGTATTCACTAGGACAGAACCATTGTATTCACTAGGACAGAACCATTGTTCTAAAACCCGTTTACTGACAAACGTCACTAGGTTTTGACATGTGCTTTTTGATGCCGGTTTCATAGCAGGGCCCCAAACGTCACTACTGACCAAGAGAAAAGACTACTTCAGCAACTCCGGGAAATTACTAAGGTCATGAAAGAAGGCAAACTCATAGATGGTATCTCCCCAGAAAAAGAAGCTGAAGAGGCTCCTTATATGCAGGACTGGGAAGGTAAGGGAGACTTTCAGTTTTCTAAAACAAGAATTGTGATTTATTTTTTTTAGACGGCATGTCACAAGGAAGCCTGAGCAACTAACTTAATTAAAGTCATTTCAGTTTCAATTTCAGTCATATTGTTGTCTCAAGATCTTCCTTCGTGGACTGTGGCAGCACATTGATGCTTTAGGGTTGACAGCTCTGGATTGGGAAATACCTGGAGATTTTGGGGATGGAGGCCGGGGAGGGTGGGGTTTGGAGAGGGGAGTGAACTTCAGCAGGGTAGAATTTCATAGGGACCACTCTCCAAAGCAGCCATTTTCTCCAGGGGAACTGATCTTGGTCACCTGGAGATCAATTATAATAGCGGGAGATCTCCAGGTTCCACCTAGAGGTTGGCAACCTTATTATGATTTGCTGGGCTATTTTTCAAAACTGGGAGAGACACCAGAATACCACATGGAGTGTAAATCAGGTTAAGGGCAGGTTCTTCCATGTACATATATTTGTAGGGCAACCATTTCCGGTGCTGCATCACTCAAGTATATATCTTCAGGCCAAGTGAAGTAGTGGTTCTTCAGGGGTGTGGGCATTACACATTGTCCCATACTGGTTGGCAGTATGACTGAACTCCATTGCAAAATTTTTGATTTTGAGTTAAAGTATACTTTGGTTGGCTTTGTTAATATTTATGAGTAGAGACCCCACAAGGACTTGCAGAGGGCATCTCATTTCCCCCGGTCTCCCCACTGTTTCCTCTTTCCTTCTCTAGCAGCCCCCATAGCATCTCCCTTTTCTGGATTCCTTCTACTCATCCACCAGCCAGCCTACCTTTCTCTGTCCCCTCTTCTTCAGCTTTCCCCCCTTCCCTCCCCCTGGCAGCCTCAACCAGGAAAACTGGCTCATTTCTGTGGTGCTGGCCACTGGGCCAGGTCCAGTTGCATGGTAAGGAACCTACAAGGACTTCTGAGGGTACTTTATTTTCCCTTGTGTCTATATTCCCACACTATTTCTCCTTTCCCTCTTCCTGGCAACCCCCATATCCTTACCTTTTCCTGCTTCCTTTTCTCCTTCCCACCATCAACCCCTCCCTCTTCAGCTATATTTATTATTTCGTCTGTATACCGCCTTTCTCCATAATGGGTGCCAAAGTATCTTATATCATTCTCCTCCCCTCCATTTTATCCTTACAAGAATCCGGTGAGGTAAGTTAGGTTGATAGTGTGTGACCAGTTCAAGTTCACCCAGTGAGCTTCCATGGTAGAGCAGGAATTTAAACCTTGCGTCTCCCAAGTTCTAGTCTGAAACTCTAGCCACTATACCACACTGGGTTTTGTGGGGTGGCAAACAGTAGCAAGCAGCTGGGCCTGGGTGAGTCATCCAAGATGTGTAGTAGCAAGTCACCCAGTTGTTGATGCTGGGCCTGGCCCCAATCAGTCCTTCCTCAAAGGCCAAAACAGCCTTGTAAAGGGACAGCCTCCCTCGCCTTCTACTAACAGAAACCCAGTCTTGAATGCTTGCTATACTATTGTGGTTGCCTAGCAATGGCCACTGAGGGCATTTGTTTCATTTATACATATATCTTTTCAGATTTTTCTGCAAACCTGGGGCATTTTTCATATTTGTAGAAAGATCTGTTTTGTCTGTTCATACCTCCAGTCTCTGGGTTTAAGTATCCAGATATTCGGCCACATTGAGCATTAGATATACTGAGTTGTTTTCTTCATGTATACCCCCACCTTTCCCCACCATCAGTGCTTATAGCTGCAGAAAATAGAACTGGGAATCAAAATAAAAAGGAAGCACGTGTTCTCAGTTTACATCCCAGTCTGTTAAGTATAACACATTTCTCCACCATTCCCATGTGGATTTAGAAGAATTAGAACGTATTCTAAAGCTACATTTGTAGCTCAAAGCAAAAGGTCCAACCATGATGCAAGGAACTGTTGGTGAACTTTTACTCACAAGATGATGTCTTCTGGCTGAATTCTGAAATGTATTTACTTGAAAGTAAATAGCACTGAAATAAATGGCACAAGTGGTTAAGACGCTGAACTGCAGGCTGTGGAAGGTCAGTAGTTCAACAGTCCGAGACCCGAGTGTGCCGCATGACGGAGTGAGCTCCCGTCTCTAGTTCCAGCTCCTGCCAACCTAGCAGTTCGAAAGCAAGAAATTGCAAGTAGATAAATAGGTACCACTTCGGTGGGAAGGTAACAGTGTTCTGTGTGCCTTGGTGTTTAGTCATGCCGGCCACATGACCACGGAAATGTCTTCGGCTTTGAAACGGAGATGAGCACCGCAACCCTAGAGTCGGACTCGACTGGCTTTTGAGCAAGGGAACCTTTACCTTTTATTTGAGTTCAGGATTCAGATGTTGTTCTGATTTTCATATTCTTTGAATAGATACAGCAATTTTATTGATGTTTGAGTTGTTGCTCCATGTAAGACATGTTTATTTTATGTCCCAAGGTTATCCAGAAGAGACCTATCCTGTATATGATAATTCTGATAGCTTTAAGCGCAGACAGGACACTGTTCTTGTGGAGTACCCTGACCCAAGCCAACCTTCTGCTGAAGAGATTGCGGAGAGAATGGAGTTTGTCGATGACGAGGAGTGTGCATGTAGTGCAACCCTTTTGTCTGCTCTTGCCACAGTGAATAATGAATTTATGTCAAGACAAGAGAAGGACCAACAGGCCACATTCACTGGCCACAGTCGGACTGGCCAGAACTTTGAAAAATGCCACTGTTGTCATTATGAAGACGACGACCCTGCTGTTATAGCAGAGAATGAAGGATTCTACCCTGAAAGCTGCAGTGAAACAGAAGAGCTGGCCAAAGAGGAGCTGCGAGCAGAGTCTGACCATGAAAACAGTGCGCCCAAATACCAGCATTATGAAAATCCCGACAAAACCGGCATGCTGCGAAAGCGAAACACAAAGGGACTTGAGTCGCTGGGAAAGTGAGGCTTGTGTGTCGCTTCTGCGGACTCTCATCTTTGCCTGCAGGAAAAAAGGCTTGTCTTCTCCATTGTTTTCCAGCTGCAGCTGGGTGTAGCAACTGCTGCTTGCTTGCAATTGGTGGTGCTCCTTGCCTACTAGTTAGCCCGGCAAGAACAGTACTACTGCCTTGCTGTTTATAGCCTCTGCAGGAATTAACACAACCATTTTGTTGTTGTTGTTCAGTCGCACAGTCGAGCCCGACTCTTCGCGACCCCATGGACCAGATCACGCCAGGCCTTCCGGTCTCCCGCCGTCCTCTGAAGTTTGCTCAACTTCATGTTCGTTGCATCGATGACACTGTCTAACCCTCTCATCCTTTGCCGTCCCCGTCTTCTTTGACCTTCAACCATTACACAACCATTACTCTGTCGCTTTCAGACATCCTTCCTGTTGGCTTAGCATAGCTAGGGCTGAAGCGTAACTTCACTGCATCCTCGATTACTGTACATAGGGATAAAAGTAGTCAGGTAGGAATTTTCTCACTAGATTCTAGCTGCTTGGCTAATAGGTTTATGGCTAGGCAAGGTCAGGCAGCCCGGTTCAGGCCGTAGCTTTTGGGGTTCCATAAAGGGTGGCAAAGTACTATGATTCAGTGTATTACATTTTACCACCACAGGGACACTATTTTGATGTTTGTCTGCAAGCATCACAATGTCTTGGAATGTCTATGCCTTACAGAGACACTGTCTGCTATGTTTTTGCCAGCCCTTTCTCCGAGGAACTCAGGGCGTTGCATGAGGTTCTCTTTTCTTCATCCTATCCTCGCGCCAGCCCTGTGGGATTGATTGGGCTGAGAGAGACGTCACCCACTGAGCTTCAAGGTAGTGTAGGGATTTGAACCTAGATTCCCCAGGCCTAGCCTAACACTCTTCCCCTTACACCACACTGGCTCTCAAAAGCTTCTGTGAGAAAATAAAAACACTTGCTCTGTCCTTCACTTTCATGCAGTACATCGTGGCATACAGGCAAACAGTTTTTCTCTATATATTAGATGAGTTGCTATCTCCTTTTCTCATCCACTGAAATTAACAAATATCTCAGGGGACTTCTTTTCGTAGATTATGAATGCACGTTTAGGGGAATGAAACCTGATGAGTGAGCCCGTTTGGTGCAGTGGTTAAGTGTGCAGACTCTAATCTGGGAGAGCCGGGTTTGATTCCCCCCACTCCTCCACTTGCAACTGCTGGATGACCTTGGGCAAGCCATAGTTCTGGCACAGCTGTCCTTGAGAAAGAGCCATTTCTGTCAGAGCTCTCTCAGCCCCACCTACCTCACAGGGTGTCTGTTGTGGGGAGGGGAGGGGAAGGGAAAGGAGTTTGTAAGCCGCTCTGAGCCTCCTTTGGGTAGTGAAGGGCAGGGTATAAATCCAATCTCCTCTTCCTCCTCTTCTTCTCCTCCTCCTCCTCCTCCTCACTGGGCTTCTGGCCCAGAATTGTGATTATGATTCACAGCTTGTACCACACAATTCTGTAACTTTGCAACTAACACTTTCAAAATTTACTTTTAGCATATGAACACTCAAATGTCGCACCCTGCCCTCTCCAACAATTAATTGATTATGGCAGAGAACAGAGGAGCTGACAATAGTCAGTAGTTGCTGTTTGACAGAGCAGACCAGTTAGAAGCATCTGCAGAAAGTCACACCAGGAAGATGCTTCGATAGCACAATGTGACCCCAGAGGACTTGAAGGGAAATGCGACTGGTAAAGGTACAAGTAACATGGCTACCATTACAGCTATTATAACTTAAAAATATAACTAAACTTATTTTCCCCCCGTAAGGATGTGGATAAGTACATTGTCCAACAAACTGTTAAGCATGCAGAACTTTGAATATATTAATTCTGAATATATAATATAGTTTGCAAGTACAAATATAAATCAAACAATTTCCAAAAGGTGGCTCCATAAGGATAAAGCGATCAGTAGAAAATAATGAAATCTGTAAAATAGATAAGAGTGTTCAGATTAGTACTTGATTTTTGTAGTATCTGTTTTAAGGCAGAATGTCATTTGAAGTAGCGTACTCAGAAAAGGGATACCATTTTTTCTACTAAGTTAGTTGATCTTGGGTAAATGGCCAATTGATAGAGATTGTTTGTTATTTTCTTCCTCAGACAATGATCCCACACTTTCGTGAGCCAAAGCGTTCTCGAGGGAGGGTGGTGTGATTCCCATCTTGATGCAATCACTGTCTTGGCCGCAGTTAACAAGCTTCTGATGAGATCCCGTCTAATTGGGCGGATAGAAATGTCGTGCCAAAGGTTCAGAAATATAACTTCCATCTTCATTGGAACCGCATGCCCCGATATTAGGTAAATTTGAGTAGCTACATCTCTCCAAAAAGTTTTTATGATGTCACAGTCCCACCAGCAGTGGATGTAGAATCTCACCTCCCCACAACCTCTCCAGCACCATCTCATCACAATCTTGAAATTTTGCAGTTTGGTTGTCACAGCTGTTGTGTTAGTAAGAGAGGCAGACCATATATCAGACCATTGATCTTGTAAAAGTATCATAGATCTTGGTGATTAAGCCTTTTCCCCTAGTATTGGAGTCTTCTATTAGACCCTCAAATTTAGTTTTAGGGGCAGCCAGAATTGCACAAAGTTGTTGATGTGAAGCCATATGGTTTAACCGTAGATAAAAGTGCCACGGGATCGACTGGTCTGTTTTCTGTTCAAGAGCCACCTTTGACAGTATGTCTGTTTTGGAGGCAATATCCACCAGACGTATGGTATTAGCCTGCTGCCAGATATTCGTTGGACCCAATTCTGCCCCTAGAGGAAACCAATCCTATTGTAGAAAAGTAGAGAAGCAAGAGAATGGCAGTACTAATTTGTGACAGAAGGCATCCCGCGTTTTAACTATATCAGAAAGGAACATCTGTTTGTTAGCCATCATTGGGTGGGCAGAAGACTTATTCCAGATCATCTCCAACATGGCCATGGTGACTGACTGAAGGAGAAGTGTTTTTTATCCATGCTGCCTAGCTATATCCTCTTAACAATTTGACTATTGTCGCCAGAAGAGAGGCATTATGATATGCAATGATATCTGTGTAGTTTAAACCACCCTGCTTATTGCTTTTCCATAGTGTGGTAAAGCTGATTCTGGGTTGTCTGCTCTGCCACAGGAATTTATTAAGCTTGGATTGCCAAAGACAAAGTGTTTCCTGTAGTAGTCTTATGGGAATGGTGCAAAATAGAAATAGCAACTTAGGAAAAATGAATGACTTGATTAGGTGGAATCTATCATATCACAACAAGGACATCTTGTTCCATTTCAGTATGTCCTTTTTCTATTTCCTGAAATTTTTGGTAATGATTGAGTTTCAGTAAGTCCTGCAAGTTTGATGGTATGTGTATTCCAAGGTACAGAAGTGAGGTTTCAGACCACTGGTATGGGAAGTTCTTGATGAGCTTAGATTTCAGATCTTGCAGTAAGTTGATCGGCAAAGTCGAGGATTTAGTTGGATTCATCTGCAAACCAGAAATCTTCCCAAAAGGCGTTCAGTGTCTCTTGGAGATGAGGAAGAGACTCTTCTGGATCTGTGATGTTCTAAAGCATATCGTTGGCGAACATGCTCATCTTGAATTCATGTTTGCTTAGTGTGACTTTGTAAATGGGGGCTCAGTCATATCTGAAAGGCTAAAGGTTTGAGTGCTATCGCAAAAAAAAGGGGGTGAGAATGGACAGCCTTGCCTTGTGCCTCTTCATATTGGTATGGAGTCTGAGAATGTTCCATTTACCCGTACTTTGACCATTGGATTTGAATATATGGAAGTTATCAAAAGGAGAAACTTCTTGCCAAAACCCATACGCTGAAGTAGAGATTGCAGATAAGGTACTTCAAGTGAATCAAATGCCTTCTGGATATCAAGAGAAAGCAGTAGCGTAGCTAACCTAGATTTTCCACAGGAAGCAATGACATTCAAGGTCTTGAGGGTGTTGTCTGACAGATTTCGTCCAGGTAGAAAACCTACTTGATCCGGATGTATATAGTCTGTTATAAATGCATTAAGTCTTCTGGTCATGATGGATGTTAAAATTTTATAGGCATAGTTCAGAAGTGAAATGGGGTGAAAAGAGGCCGGAGAAGAAAGGTCTTTACCTTGCTTGGGAATGACAACTATAGTCGCAGTCTCCCGTGACGAAGGGAGATCGCCAGAATCAAGAAGAGTATTACAAGCCACTTGGAGAGGAGGAGTCTGTATATGAGCAAATTTCTTGTAAAACTCCGGTGGATAGCCGTCAGGTCCAAGTGATTTATTGATTTTCAGTTCCCTAATAGTATCAAGAATTTCTTGTGGTTCAATTGGTCTGTCCAAGGCTGCCCTGTGTGCATCTTCCAGGATTCCAATGTTAGCATGGAACTGAAGACATTCTGAGGTTGATACCCAAGTCTGCTTTTTGGATGAGTATAGGGCTCTATAGTATTCTGCAAAAACCATAGCAATATCTGTTGGCTTGGTGACCTGGTTCCCTTTGGTATTAAGCAGTGATGTTACCATTTTAACAGATCACTTTTCTTTCACCCTCCATGAGGGGAGCCACAGATTTTGGTGATTTTATCCATTGTTTTTGTTTCAAATATAGAAAGTCTTCCTGTGCATGGGTACATTCCAAAGTCTCCAACAGCTTGCGCTCAGCCAACAACGCTCGGTATACTTTTGAGCTTCCTCCTTCTTTGTGTAGTTTGTCCAAGTGTAGAATTCTATCCATGTTGTCTTGCCTTGTGGCTTGTCATTGTTTCTTCAGGTGAGAAGACATCAAAATTAGTTGCCCTCTAAGCACCGCCTTAAGAGTGTCCCATGTTATGGTCGATGTAGTTTCTCCCACACCATTGTCCTGTAAATATTGTTTGATGTTAAGTTCTATCTCTTTGGCATGTTTTTCTGAATAGAGGAGGTATTTGTTCAGAGACCACTGTGTGGAATTGTTAGTGGATGTGTTTAATGAGA